GTTTGCCTTAATTTGTGCCCCTCCCACTGGTACAACCACCAACATAAATCTGGCGGGTTAGTTGTTCCTTTGCTCTCTGTCCCCAGAACTTCTTCCCCTTGCAGCCCCTTCCCCTTAATGTCAGACCGTGCTCTCTTTGAGCACATGAAAGTGAGAAGAAATTTTGAAAACACTGACCTTGAAATAAATATGCCTCTTGTTCATCCAAAATTGATGCATTTTTCCCTTTTTTGAAACTGCTGCAAGTTTTAACACAGGTACTCCATAAACGCGCTGTTGAGCAGCATTTTAGGATCTACTTAATATAGTACAAACTGCATGATATTAGTCTAAAGCCAAAATGCTCATGATTTACCATATAGTTCATTGAGCCGGGCCCCAGCAGAGTCAACAGTGTTTCGAGCCATGGTGACCCCATAGCTCATCATTGCTCAGTATGCGTGTGTGTGTGTGTGTGTGTGTGTAATCCAGGTGCCCCCCACAAAGTAACTTTGTGCTAATTGGCTTCTCACTCATGACTAGAATAGGGTGTTCTTGTCATGAGTTCTGGGATCCTCCAAAAATTTAGATGCAGATGAGGCCCAGTGCAACCTGGTCTGGCTTCACCTTATGAAGAACAGGGCCATACTAGTCATATGTGACAGGTTAAGAGAGGAAGTGGCAGAAGGATTCTGGCTGAACTGTTTGGGGCCCCATTTGGCAATGTTTCTGACATTTAAGTCTGGTGAAGAAACAGGAATCATTAGAAATGTGAAAGAAGGGTGCAGCTTAGCTGTAAGAGTGAAGAGGAGGTCAAATATATATACAACATAGTGGCTCAGCATGACTTGAAAAAGAGTCAGTGCTGAGGGAGATTGTGCTCAATGGGCACCACCATCTATCTTATTCAGATGGACTGCACTAATCTATTCATGTTCTAGGTTCCCTTCAGCATGTTTGCCTCAAATAGACCATGTGTTTTATAGTCATGCTCAGTGTTAGTTGCATTTAAATTAACTTCATCATTGGTCTCTGTTACTAAGCATATGCTGCTTTTGGCAGCAGTTTAATGATAGGCAGTATATTTAATGAGGTTTCATCATATGCAAGTGTAAGTTTTCCCCATGCTGATAGGGGGAAAATCTTGATTTTATATTCAAATAAATATAGTATTTTTTACAACATTCCAATTATTCTGTACTTATGATTACAGACTTCCTTTTGCAGAGCACTCTATATCACTGGGTCTGTGCACGTATCCACAAAACAAGTGTAACTGAAGCATGGCTAGGATTCATGGTACTTACTAAGTAGAAGAACCATTTTCTGTTTACTAACAGTTTCTTTTCCATTCTTAAATTGGTCTGGAGATTATACCGTTAATTTAGCATTCAGTATAGTTGACAGTGTCTTGCCTTTTGCTACAGCATGCTTGGTAAGGTAACAGAAAGGATAGAACTCTGAAAACGATACCTATTTCAAGAAGTAGTTACATTAGCTATATTACTATGTAACAGCAAGGGGAGAGAGGTATACAGAATATCTACTCTTTGGTGGCCAAGATAATTGCTTTTGTAATGGCAGCCTCTCTATCTGGAAGAAGTCAGGTACCAGTAACATATTACTCTCTATTGAAAGCAGCTTTTTGAAAAGGGGCACAACAATTTATTCCCACCAACCCAGCCAATATGCCACACCTGCCAACAAATACAGTTGGCTCTTTCTGCTCCTATATCCCATATAAAATGTCAGGAGTCTTCAAGAAGACTACAGTGGCTTCTTGCCACCTGAGAATTTTATTGTTATTAATGCTCCATTAAAGTAGCTTTGCAGGAAAATGTTGCTACTATAACAACACAGACCTTCAAGAAAGGGTTCAAGGGCCTCTTGGTTAAATGTTGTAGGAACAGTGGAATATTAGGCAGATAATTTTAGACCTTTTGAAAGCCATCTGCCTGCTTTGTGCCAGTCATTAAAAATAACAATCAGTATGCTTTCCTATTTACAGTACTGGAGCCTTGGAGTCCTATCTGTCCTGTATGGGAGAAGCACTTTTCTATAATTTATCTTTTCTTATTCAATCAATTTGCTGTTCAAACTACCTCTTGGAGGACAAGGATGTTCTACACTGGGTGCACTTTAACAAATAAGTATTTATTTTTTCCTTCCAAAGCTAGAACTTATGACACATATATTTTGTCAGACATTTCCAGGTTTGTCCTTACCCTTTATTTCTCTTTCAGTTAAATTGAAAGCTCTTGGTACTGACTTATTTTTTGATGATTACAAATCAGAAAAGTTCACACAGAAAGTCAAGTGATGGCACAAGTTTCATTGTTAAACTACAGATTATTTTTTCTTTCCCTTGTGAAGGGCCAAGTAGTGCCATGGTTTCAAAGTTTATAGGTACCTTGTTCCTGTTCAGAAGCTTATGTTCAAACCTCAGTGGTTTTTTTGATACCAGGGCTGCCAAACTTCAGAGAGGCCAGGGGCCACACACTTAACAGAGGTCATGGGCTCCAGCCACACACAGTGCAGGCTGAATACTGCAGGGCTGTAGTCTCTCTGTGACCTCTGTTGTATGCAGTGCCCCCCACCACACAAGCAATATGGATCTCCCTGCTACCCCCACTATGTGGCAGATCCCCTCCGCTTCATTATTGAACAAGAAGGGCAATCAACCCTCATTGTGTAAGCCCCCTTGAATATGCCACTAAGCCAGTGTTCACCCATCCCACAACTGCTATGCAAATAGCACAAAACCCTCTGCCTGAGCCCCTCACTGTCACCAGCCCATGCTCCCCCCTTTCCCACTGCTGCACTAGCACCTCTGCTACCACAGCCATGCAGGAAAGTCACCCAAATAGTGGTGCCACACAAACAACATAGTGGGCAGAAAGCTCACTGGGCCATCTGCCATTCTGTCCTACCTGTTTTTCTAGGGGAAGGGGAGAGATTGATAGAAGACTCACAGACAATCCACCTGCAGCAGAAATTTCTAAACTCTTTTTCTAATTATGAGACAAATTAGGCACTCAGGCTAAGTACCCATGTTCAAAAAGCCCAAGCTGGAAGCACTCTAAATATCATGCTTTACTCAAAGTGCCCTAGATTAGGTCAGGAGAAAACAGAGCAGCTGTTTGCTGGTTGGGGGTGGGGGGGAAGCTCAAAGCCTGCCAGTACTGGCTTAGGCCAGCAGGCTAGGGGTGCCTGCATGCCTCCCAGTAGGCTAGTGGGGAATACCAAGCCCAGCCAAAGCTAGCCAAGCAGCCAGCCACCCCACATTGGCCAGCATGACCCTGTCCTTAGCCACAGACCGCTCCCCACAAGCTGGCTACTGTCAGTACTGGTGGTTGGGGGCTGAGGAAGGGGAATAGAGCCCCCCCCCCCCCCCCCCCCCCCCCCCCCCTCTCTTTTCTCCTGCCCCCGGGG